AAAAAAAAAAAAAAATTGTTATCTCGGCTCCTAATAATCAGAGGGTAATCTTTTTTTTTAAATTCATAGAAAGATGTCAAATGTCGATGCTTCACACGGCTATTTGATATGATGCATATTAATGGAATTATTCCATTTTTTAAATAAAATGACTTTAAAAAGTAGATATCTTTTTCCGTATAAAAAAATTGAATAATTCCGTTAATATGCATCATATCAAATAGCGGAAAAAGATACTCACTTTTTAAAGTCGTTTAATAATAGTTTAATTGCCAAAAATCGTTTTGTTATTAAGTGTACCTGATAGTGCAACTCTTGAAAAAGGAAAATCACCCCTGTAAATTGCTGTACAACTGCTCAAAAATAAAGAAATTAAGTTTTTCGCAGACAAGCTCTTAATAAACAAACGGCTTTTTGCAAAAACTAATAAACATTTCAGGCTCGTTCAAGGCTAGATTCGTTCATCATTATGAGGGCTACATTTTACGAAAATTTCAAAGCTTTGTATTTACATTTCAATGAACAGAGAGCGAGTGAAAAAAGACATTTTTCGGTGTTTTATATTTTTTTTCTACTAAACTAATAGATCAATTTTAATGTTCCATTTTGTAAGTATTTCGAATAACGTCTCATTTTGTAAGTATTTCGAATAACTACATTTTTTTATACCGAATTTTTTCCATACAATTGATATCTCGTTTTATAAGCGAAAAATGTGCTTTTTACAACTATTTAATTTTTTTTCTCATATTTTCTACACAAATCTCGAGTCTCAAACATACGCATTTCTTTTCTGATGGCCTTTCGAGACTTCCGTAAAAAGAAATGCTGATTTATAATTTTTTTCCGGTAAAATTCTATTTCTACTGAACTATTCTTGCTATTCGAATTTATGAAGGAGAGATATCTGGATACTATATGACGTGAAAAATCGTAAACAATTAAAAATATCTCGTAAACTGCGTATTAACATTTATACTATTCTGAATTAATGGGAGGAGTACACTATTACTTAATAGTAGTTATGAATACGTAAATTTTTTAAAACTTATGAATGTCTCCCGCCCCTTTGATGTTTAGGACCGCCAAATGGCCGAGATTACCAAGAAAGCATTTTCGGTCGCTCGAAACAAACGAATGTGAGGAGCTCGCTGTCTCGTTCACTTTCGGTGCGCTGCAAGCGAGTACACGGACTCGTGCTTAAGTGTGTGTGTTACAGCGCCGCACCACGATAAATGGCCGAACTTATAGGCATGGAAAAGTGACGTTTTGACGACGAAATTTGTGTTGCATGACATTTCGTTATTATTTGCTTAATTGTGAAAATGTGACTTGTCTCATACTTATGAAAGTCCTCAAAATGGGCGGAAATCACAATTATCTTGGAATTTTGTACGTAAAAGTATATTTCACTCGTTTGCTGTTGAACCGTGTGTTTCTGCCCGAGTATAGGCTTATTTTACGTGTCTTTTACTATTTAATAGGTCTGTTTTTTATTGCTGCACTTTTCGAACTGGTGCATACAAT